AGTTGCTATGAATCGAATCCCATGATGACAGGGGCATGGACCAAACCCTTCTCAAATAATAGAGATTTAGTCAAAGGGAGATCTCTCAGCATCATGTAAACCATACACACTAAAGATTAATAGGAAATAACCAATGGTAAAATATAACAAACATCATTTACTGCTATGTTCTTCACTGTGTTCCATAGAAACTGATTTGGAAAAAGAACTCTGGTGACTTTGAACAAGCTGGCCACCGTTTGCTCATCTATAAAATGTCTGGACTAGAGGACAGGCCTCTACTATTCCTTCTAGATCTAAACTTAACGATCTCTGAAAAAGGGAAAAGGACCCACATGTGCAAAAATATTTATAGCAGCCCTTTTCGTGGTAGCAAAATATCAGACATAGAGGGGATGTTCATCAATTGGAGAATGGCTGAACAAGCTGTGATATATGAATGTAATGAAATACTATTTGTGCAACAAGAAATGATGAATAGGCAGATTTCAGAAAAACCTGAAAAGACTTGCATGAACTGATGCAAAGTGAAATGAGCAGAACCAGGAAAATATTGTACACAGTATGAGCAACATTGTATGATAATCAACTATGAATGACTCAGCTCTTCTCAGCAACACAATGATCCAAGACAATTACAAAGGACTCAGGAAGGAAAATGCTGTCCAAATCCAGATAAAGAACTTATGGACTCTGAATGCAGAACAAAGCATATTTTTGTCACTTCCTTTATAATTTCTCATGTCTTTTCTCCTTTTGATCTGTTTCTTCTTTCACAAATGTGATTAATACGGAAATATGACATGCTAGCACATGTATAACCTATGCCAAATTGCCTACCATTTTCAAAAGGGGGAGGGGAGGGAGAAAAGTTTGGAACTCAAAATCTTACAAAAATGAATGCTAAAAGTTGTCTTGATATGTGATGGGGGAAAATAAACTACTATTAAAAAAAGAAAAAAATAAACTCAATGGTCTCCTGATTTCCTCAATTATCATTTTAAATAAAAAAGCTTATTGGCTCTAATTTCTACGTCAATTTAAAGTATGCTAGGCGTACACTGGGGCAGCTAGGTGACTCCATGAATACAGCACAGGGTGTGGAGCCAAGAAGACCTGAGTTCAAATTCAGCCTCAGGACACATCCTAACTGTGTGACCCTGGGCAAGTCATTTAACCTCTGTTTTCCTCAATTTCCTTAACCGCACCTACCTCCCACAGTTGTTGTGAGACGACAAAAAGCTCTCAGCACCGTTCTTGGCACATAACAGGCACAATAGAAATGCTTATTCCCCTTCCCTTCATAACACATGACAAGGTCACATCCCTCTGGCCATCACCCTATGCAAGAACCCAGAGACAAGAATAGATATCAGGCTGTTACTCATTATCACCGGATGATAGATTTGGGGTGACAGTCAACTCAGAGATCTTGAGAAGATGAAAAACTTGCTAAGGATCATATAGCTAAAAGTATCTAAGGCAGAATTTGAACTCAGATCTTCCTGACTCCTAGTCCAGACATCTATCCAACAAACCATCTAGACGCTGCAATAAAGAAGCCTGACCAGTACGAGAAATAGTTTAAGATTCATAATCTACGGCAGCCAATACTGGTTTATTATTCTATTGTCACAGTAGCACTGGGGCTGTCCAGCTGACAGCTCCCATTCTCACTACCTGACCGGTCCACCTCTGTTTCTGACCAGACATTTCCCTGCATTTCCAGTAACAAGACTATCTGCCATTTGAGGCCAACACTTGCTAGGTGTTCAGAAACTAATCGTGAGCAGTTAGCACTCACAAAATTCTAACTTTCAGGGATTATTTTATTTTGCTTTTTTTTTTTTTAAAGCTAGTGTACTCTAAGGTCAGGAGGATCTGAGTTCAAATTCGGCCTCAGACACTTACTAGCTTTGTGACCCTGGGTAAGTCATTTAACCTGATTGCCTTGGTTTCCTCATCTGTAAAATAAGCTGGAGAAGGAAATGGCAAACCACTCCAGTATCCTTACCGAGAAAACCCCAAACGGGGTCATGAACAGTTGGACACGACTAACTGACTAAACAACACCACCCTATAGCTCTATCACAAAACGGTGGGTTTTTTCATTAAACAAATATTGTCAGAGAAATTAAATTCTACTGAAAGCACTGTTTAGTTTTGTAAATGCTCCAAGAAGGAAGTTAGAAAGCAGCAAGACATGATGGAAAAAAACTCTGACTTTGGAGTCTGGGGACCTAGAATTACATTGTGCCGCTGATGCTTACCACCTGTGCAACCTCGGGCATTTTGTTGTTTTCTATTATATCCAACTCTCCATGACCTTGTTTGTGGTTTTTCTTGGCCAAGATACTGGAGCGGTTTACTATTTCCTTCTCCAGCTCATTTTACAGATGAGAAAACTGAGGCACACAGAGTTAAGTGACTTGCCCAGGGTCACACTGCTAGTAAGTATCTGAGGCTGGCTTTGAACTCTCAAAAATGAGTCTTCCTGACTCCAGGCCCGGCACTCTAACCACTGCACCACCTGACTACCCCTAGAAGTTACAAAGAGGCCAACTTAAGCTCAATGTCAGGAATGATGTTTTAGCAATGAGAACTGTCCCAAAGCGGACAGGTGGCAGATGGAGGGTTCTCCCTTCAAGCAGAAGCTGCCTGAGTCCTCATTCATTGGGCATGGAGATTTTCTTGGGCACAAACCAGATGACCAATGACGTCCCTTCCAATTCTGAAAATCTATTATTTACATGACCCTTACTTTTAATATGGCTCCCTTAGACAAGGGCATAAAAGAATTTGGGTACCATTGGGCTGTTTATAATTAAGAATACAAGCCTATTTTCCCAACAGAACTACAAAGTTAAGATAAAATGAGCCACTCAGAAATTTAGCTGATATCAGACATTCTTGAGCCAACACACTTTTCATGGAAATAGAGGTCAACCCAACAGATCCAGGCTCCGACTTTATCATATTGCAACATAAATTTTCCCTGGGCCATGATAATGGGGAGTATTGCCTAGGCAGTGGAAAGTAAGGGGTGTGTGTACGTGTGTGTGTGTGTGTGCGCATGTGTGTGTGTGCATGTGATCATCAGGCTCACAACCACATAGAGTGAGTACACAACAGTAATTAGGAGGAGTAGCAATCCTAATCACTAAATGATTACTGGACCCCTACAGTTTTACAAGGGTGATTCTTTTAGCCATGGCTTAAATTAAAGCTTTCTTAACTGGTAAATCTTTGAGATTTTTCAAAACTAGAGTTCATCTAGCCATGGAAGGGAATCATACTCTGAATTACTTTCAATCTCCTACTAGCATTTTTATGGGACATCCTGAAGGCAGGAATACTCAGAGCTTAGGCCTCCACTTGTCCCAGATGCCTTATGTTCCATCCCACTTAGGAGGGCCCAAAATTCAAAAGCTTAGGGCTCAAGGTTGAGGACCTAACAGCTAACAATACGAGCATGTATCTCTACAAAGACAAACTGAGCTATCACAGCAAAGCGGCCGTCATGCTCATCATCAGACATGATATCATACCCCAAAAATCCCATCTAAACAACGCGTCTAATTCATGACAACCAGCAAACTAGGACTTGCTGGCAAATGAAGAGGCCGTGATTTACAAACAGTAGGTAATGTTTGGCTCTCTCCATAGATGCAGTGTTCCTACAAAACAGAAATGACTTCACTGGGGTGCTGCCCGTAGCAAAGGCTGGAGGAATCCTCCTATCAGAAAGAAGGCCCTTCTTATAGACAAAATAAGATAGTCTCGTGCATGTTTATTTTGTGGTCTCAGACCACACATCAAGGGGCTATTTACAATGTTTATAATGCTCTTGGTGCCACGGGGGCAGACCAAGGGTTGAAATCAAAGTGTAGGCCACACAAGTGTTTCTGATGGCTCAGCCTGCTGGGGTTTACTGGTCATCAGTTTCACTGAAACTACAAATGGGTACTTTCTCCAATGGCCTGGCAAGGCTTCCTAACACCTTACAAGAATGTACACCAGAAATGTGACTTTCTACTAATATCTTTTTGGGAAAATAGGGGTGGGGGTAGAATTGCTTCATAAGAGAAGCTTACACCCTCTCAAGTACAAAAGATTTAAGGGCAGAAGAAACCTCAAGGATTATTTGGTTCATTCAGCCCCTCATTTTACAGATGAGGAGACAGAGGCCCAGAGATATTAAGAGACTTGCACAAGGATAGGGAATGGACCTGAGATTTCATCAGTAGTGGATTTTTGGCTCCATCAAAGCACCTTTTCTGCCTAAAATACTGGTGTCAAAGTTAAACAGAAACCAATCCTTACGCTCCTGTATACTGAGTTTTTTGTTGTTGTTGTTAGAAAACTACAAATTAACATTATCTATCTTGTACTATTGGAGAAAGAAATGGCAAACCAGCATCTCTGCCAAGAAAACCTCAAATGGGGTCACAGAGTTGGGCAGGACTGGAAAACGATTTAACAACCCTCAAAATACTGTACTATGTTTTTGTTTATGTTACTAAACATTTTCCAATTACATTCTAATCTGGTTCTGGCATTTGGTAGACTGTGAGTTTGACTCCAGTGGCCTCAGTTTATAAAAGACTTGCCCAGGGCCACACAGACTTGCCCAGGGCCACGCAGACAGTATATGTCAGAACTGGAACTCAAACCTAGAACTTCCCAGTTCCAAGGACAGTTCTCCACCTCCTGTACCACACTGCCCCTCTCTTGCTTAAGGATACCAAGACCAAAGCCAGCCTAAGTCACAGAAACACAGATTTAGAGCAGGAAAAGGACCTCCAATCATTTTATAATGAGAAAACTGAGATCCAGGGCTAGTAAACAACTTGCCAAAGGATATACAGGTAGTAAGTGGAAGAAACTAGGATCTGAACAGGTCCTTAGACTTCATATCCAGTGCTCACTCCACTAAGGTAGTAGGGAATACCACTTCTTCACTCAATTGTTAGTTTCAGTGGGTAATAATAAGCACTTACAAAGAAAAGTCTGGGGACACCAGGAGCAAGCCTCTCAGTCTTTAACTTCCAGATCAAGGGCTGAGGGGAGTTGAGCAGGAACACAATAGATTTCTGATGAATGTGCACTGATGAGATGGGTTTCAAGTGCAGGGTGATCTACAAAAGAGCAAAAAGAGTAGAAACATTAAAACCGGGGTATTTTATTAAAACTCCCTCAGGGTGGCATCTGCAACCCTGATTTCATCCAACATAGTTAAGAAGACCATTCCCATACCTTAGGTCAGATTCTGCAAATCTGATTGCCTCATCCAAATCAGTGGGTGAGCCTAACCCTAAGCCCCGTAACCAAGTAGAAAAGAGACAAGGAACAAATACAGAACTGGGCCAAGGCAAAGAAAAGCTGTCTTCCCTGAACTGCCTTAGCCTGAGGTCAAATGACTAAGCTGAAAATCAGAGAACAGAAGAAGGCACTGTGAAAGACAACTGGCCCTGGGGATCTCTGGAGAGAACCTTCCTTTTCTCCCTCACAGGTAAGCTTCAGCCCCTTCAATAACAAGCAACATCTTGCCAAAGAAAACTAAGAGAAGGCAGGAAAGCCAGAAAAATATCGGCCCCATCTTGCATCTCCCCAATTGTTGGTTTCAAGGGGTTTTCCCAAAAAATAAAGCCCAAAGGACATAAGAAAAAAAAATGGATTGTGCCAGGCCTCTGAGAAAAACAGGAAAGAAACATAGATGAGCCTGGGCAGGAAATCTCAGCCCTGTTTTCATAAATGCCAAAGAACAATCATTCCCAGCCTCAGAAAATGGCCACCAGGCATCTGTGAACAGTGATATGCTCCCCCTACCTGGGGCACAGACCATCCAGACACCACCTTCCAGAGAACATCTCCACCCTCCCAGGAGCTAATCCAAACAACTCCACTCAGAGGTGGAGCTGTCCCAATAGGTCGGTGAGTGGGTGGAAACTCATCTAAAACAACCCCAGATAAAATAATAATATCACAATAACTAACGTTTATGTAGCACTTTAAGGTTTCCAAAGCTTTTTATGAAATTTATCCCATTAGAGCCCCAAAGGGACCCTGAAAGATAGGTTATTATTGTGCTCATTTCGCAGATGAGGAAACTGAGGCAAAGAGAGGTTCAGAGTTAGTCACAAAGCTAGCGAGCATCTAAGGCAAAACTGGGTCTTTCTGACCCCCCCATTCTAGGGGCTGCTAAGTGGCTCAATTGATAAGAGTGCTTGGCCTAGAGTCAGGAAGACTCCTCTCCTGAGTTCAAATCTGGCCTCAGATACTTAATAGCTGTGTAACTATGGGCAAGTCACAATTTATCTCAGTTTACTCATCTATAAAATGAGCTGGAGAAGGAAAAGGCAAACCACTCCAGTATCTTTGCTCCTAATTGGTTTCACTGCTTCCAAGCTCTTCTCTCCAATCTCTCCCCAACACTGAGAGGCTGCTAAAACAATCTTCCTAAAGTATGGTCTGACTATGTCACTGCCCTGCTCAAAATCCTTCCCCGGCTCCCCACAGCTGCTAATGTAAAATACAGCCCATCTTGGGATGGGATTCCATGCATTTGCCCATGCCTGAAAAGCTCTCTCTCCTTATCTCTGCTTCTAAGAATTTCTATGTTCCTTCAAAGCTAGTTCAGGCGCCATCTTAGGTGAGCAGCCTTCCCTGAATCCCCCCAGTAGTTATCAGTGCCTTCTGTCTCCTCAAATGACCTTCCATCTACTTATCTATGTACCTGTTGTATCACCCTAGCAGAGATTGACTGTTTTGTTGAATTGGGGTATCCAGGAAGCCAACAGCTTTGAAGAGTGACCAGTAGAAGATGCTGAATCCCAAAAGAGGCAGAGATTTCAAGTGTAACGGTAAGTGAGCAATGAGATTCTTCTGCTGGAAAATACCTGGCTATGAATGAAGACAATGAGGAAGCATGATTGTCTCAAACCGTTAGAGTTATTCATTATTCTAATAATAATATTATATATTAGATCTAATAATAGTTTCTGTTGCTCAGTTGTGTTTGTCATATCTGACTCTTCATGACCCTACTGGGGGTTTTTTGGGCAAAGATACTGGAGTGGTTTGCCATTTTCTTCTCCAGCTCATTTTACAGATGAGGAAACTGAGGCAAACAGGGTTGAGTGACTTGCCAGGGTCACACAGCTAGTAAGTGTCTGAGGCCAGATTTAAACTCATATCTTTCTGACTCCAGGTCCAGTACTCTATCCACTGCACCACCTTGCTGCCCAGTAATATAATAATAATATTAACAACATTCTAATAATAATAAAATTCTAATTCTAATTTCAAACTCAGGTCAGAATTCTTGAAACCAGACTGATGAGATTTGAAATAGCAAATGTCTTTATATCAAGTTTCTGTATAGCAAGGTACATTCTCACATAGAATCAAATCAAAATATTTTTCTAGTGGCCTTCTCTACCATGCTCATCATACCAAGGCATCTGGGTGGTCCAACAGACAGAGTGATGGACTTGGAAGTAGGAAGACCTGAGGTCACTCCAGCCTGACACTTACTAGCTGTATGACCCTGGGCAAGTCACTTAACCTCTGTCAAGTCTCAGTTTCCACATCTGTAAAATAGGGATAATAATAGCAACTACCTCCTGGGATTATTGTGAGGAAGAAATGATATCTGTAAAGCACTTTAAAACACCCTATAAATGTTAGCTATTATTATTATCATTAGACCAAATTTTATCAGAGAGAGTGCCTCCTGTCTCCTAAGTTTTGGAATAAAGATTGACTAGGACCAGCTGCTGTTAAAAAATGACCCTGAGAAAATGTGAGAAATGCCAGAAAAATACACTGTAGAATACTATTTTAAAATACTCCCCTTTGGTCCCTGGGGAAGTTCATCCACTTAGCTTTGGAACTCCCACCACAAAGCTGAGAGACATTGATTTTTGACCAATTTCAATCTTACCTAGCTGGCCCCGGGCCATAAACCATGCTTCAAAACACATCCAGCCATCCGCCATCTTAACTTCTACCTTGCTACCCTGACCACCCACACCGTTCCCCTCCTTACACCTCTTCTCCTGGGTATAGTAATCAAGTCACTTCTACTGGCGATTCTGGAAGGGTCATATCAATGGACGGTCAACCCACCATCTCTGGGACTCCCCACACCTCTCTGGCCACACTCCCCCTCCAAGTGTTGTTTCCCACCCAGCAGGGGCAGTATCTTATTTTGTATGCGTATCCCCAGTGCCTATCTGAGTGCTGGGCACATATTAAATACATAATAAATTTTTTCATTCATTTATTTGTACTCTCCACCTCTGGCAATGTATTGGTTAATTTCATTAACTGGAGAGGCAGCATGGTGGATAGAGAGCCAGCCTTGGAGCCAGTAAGACCTGGGTTCAGGTCCAATATCTGATTCATCCTAGTTATGTGCAAATCGAACAAGTCACTTAAGGTCATAGTTAGTGCTCTAAGGAAATTTCTAAGAATTTAAGTTGAAGAAAAAGTGCTGATTTTTTACTGGGAGAGGTACTTTCCTCCCCAGGAAGTTCATCTTACCAACGAAATCACAAGTCCAGACCCTAATCCAATCAGTGCCTGGCACATAGGGGTTACTTAATAAAAGCTTATTGGCTGATTCAATATTCCTATTCCCATATTTCTTTTTTATTTTTTGATACAAGAGATGGTCCAATGGGTACAAGAGGAAAGAAGGAAGTCATATAAAAACAAAAGTTATCAATAAAGATGGGGGGAAAAGTAAAATATTCCTTAAATTAATACAATTTTTAAACATCCAAATGGGTTAAAGTGAAAAGAAAATATGTGTAAGTGTGAAATTTCAGGAATCTTCCAGATGGCTCAGAGATTTTGATAAATGGCACATATGATCAAGGAAAGGTTACTAAGGGTCACAACTATCACTGCTTTCCTGGAAACAACTTCCTTATTCAATATGTGGCCACGTCTGGCCAAGAAGAGTCATTCTGGCACATTCAGCACAGGCAAAGTCCCAAGAACCATTTAGCAAAGAAAAATTCATACTATGGCTTGGAAATTAAAGAGAAGAAAACATCCAATATATATTTTTAAAGCCACATTAGTTCTCCTGAAATTATCTTGTATAGTTTTCATACTTTAATTGTATCTATGTATATGTTGAATTACCTCTCCTTATCACCTGTAGAACGGAAACTCCTTGGGGGCAGGAACTAATTCATTTTTATTATAGTATCCTCAGTACTTAACACATATTTTAGTCCAGATCTGTAATTTGAAGATACTCCTAGATAAAAAAAATTTAAAGATATTTCTAGGTATGGAAACTCCATTGTCGTAGATGAGTAATTCCTCTTTAGCTTAGAGTCTTAACAAATTGCCCAGGACACAGAGGTTGGGTGACTTGTCCAGGGTCACAGTCAATATGTATTAGAGGCTAGACCTGAACTAAGGTTCAACTGACTCCCAAGTTATCCTTTAATCTGTAACACTATGGTGTTTCTAACTTTGCACATAGTAGGTATTTAACTATTTTAATTGCCTTCTATATGCAAGACACTGAGAATTTTTTTGTTTTTGTTTTTCAATTGTGTCCAACTCTTTATGACCCCATTTGGGGGTTTTCTTGTCAAAGATCCTGGAGTGGTTTGCCATTTCCTTCTCCAGCTCATTTTACAGATGAGGAAACTGAGGCAAACAGGGTTAAGTGACTTGCCCTGGGTCACAGAGCTACTAAGTGTCTGAGGCTGGATTTAAACTTAGATCTTTCTGACTCCAGGCCTGGCACTCTATCCACTGCACCACCTACTAAGAATACTAATACAGTAGTAAAACAACTGTTGTTTTCAAGTATCCCAAGGGAGACAAAATGTATGCATAGAGAGATATAGGAAATATAATTATTTTTAACAGGGCAAAGGTAAGGTAAAATAGAGACACAGATGGTGAACTAGATTAGCGATTGGAGAGATCATGAAAAGCTCTCAGTGTTTAGCACAGTGCCTGGCACATAAGAAAGTCACTCAGTTATCCAACAAGCATTTGCTCTGAGCTTTGAAGGAAATAGAGATTCTTAGAGAAAGAGGTAAGAAGTAAGGGCATTCCAGGCCTAGAGGATGGCCACTGCAATGGGACAAAGATAGGAGATGGA